TATCTGTGTGCAACAGTATTCACGTTTGCTATTACAGCTTATAATGTTGTAATATTTGGGTATAAGGTTAAACAAGTATCATATTATTACCATTTCATTGGTTCCCACTTAATTATCAAAGTAAATTTTCCTGATAACCACAGTCTTGTCTCAACAGTGGGAGCTGAGTAATCTTAAACTGAAATTCATATAACTGGGTACTAAGGGACCAGAAACTAGGAATAATAATTTGTAAACAAAAAGGGAAACAAATAAAAGCACAAGAAAGACAATATACTAACAAAATAAAACAGAAACACACATTTCACAGCTTCCCGTCGCGTCGTTGTAGTGTTGTGCTGTGTGTTGTGCTTTCATGTATGCTCTCTTGTGTTCCCTCTCTCGTCTGCCTTTCCTCCTGTGTCAATTTCATGTACAAGTCCACGTCTCACGGTGTTTCCTGTTTTATTTTGACTGTCTCATGTCCACGTTCTGTGTTGCTTCCCCTGTGGCATCACATTCGTTTGTTTCAGCTGTGTTCCTCAGGTGTTGCCACTCCCTTCGTCTCCTCTCTGTGTATTTAGTGTGTGAGTTTTCTGTCATTCGTTGTCATTGTCTTCACGTTGAGTTCCCTAGCTTCCATGTTTCCTGGTTTCCATGTTCTGTAATCCATCTTCGGGTTTTCATTATCTTCTTTTGATGTTCTTTGTCCCTTGAGTTTAGTATTTAGTTTTTCCCAGTGTAGCTCTAGTTAAGTTTTGCCTTTGCATCTACCTGCTCTTGCTTGTTATTTACTCCAGCCAAATAAACAGCTCGATTTTTGTTTAAGCCCTGCCCTGTCTTGTGTGTCTGCATTTGGGTCTGTTAAAAGAAATATAAGGTCTGCCACTGCATCCCCTTTGACACAGTCTTATACACCACTGCCTGCATAGATGTTAAAAGTAAAATGATTCAGGGACTTAATGACTTAATGATGACTAATGTTGTCTGTCATTAAGTATAGTACCGCAGTACTAACACTGGCAGCTGGAGCCCCCCAAAAAACGTTATGTCCTTGGGAGAATATTATTGCAGAGAGGAGTAGGAGGTCTTGTCACTGTGGACAAAATATATTCAAGTTGGTAATGCATGCTCAACAAACACAAAAGTTATATACTGACAATAGTCAGCGTTGTTTTATTTTATTTTATTTTTAAACCACACAGTTCCTCAATGAAATACTGTAATTAATCTGGTCTTTTTCTTATAATACTCAAGTGATATTATTGCATAGAAATATTGTGTCAGCCCACCGAGTGGCTGCAGCTCTAAATATGAGTCATGTGCATGATTCAAAGAGACTTTCTGTTCTGTTCCTTTCACTGTAGGGATTTCTCCTGGGTCATAAACCTCCATGGAATTCAATCCACATCTGTTCGCCCCTTCTTCATTTTTATGCTTGAAACCTCTTCATCCTTGTACTTTAGTACCTGATCTTTATGTCTTTGGGATGTTTAACTGTTACATGTTACTGCATCGTCTCACCGTTTCTCTGTGTCCACACGAAGTAGCATGTGTGCTCTCAAATGTTTAACACCCATCATGTAAGCCTGCTTCCTGCTTGTGAAACATTAGCTAGACTGCCAACAAAAAGTCATCCACCCTTTGTCAACCATTTCTCATCTCATTAACCTTCAAGCATAACACATAAGGTATCATATTCATACTCCCTCACTCCAATGCAGTGTGTTTGTGTGTTGTGTTTGTGCATGCATAGCACTGCAGCTGCCGTCATGAGGAGATAGCAGTTCCCCCAGGGGTTGTCAGTGACCTTGTGCCTCTCAGTGAGCTTCTTTGTCATATTGAAACAGAGCAATATCTCCCAGCGGTGCCATCTCATTCACGAATGGGCACAACTCTTCATTACTCGTGCTTCACATGTCACAAAGACAGCACTCTTCCACCGGTGGCCTAGGCGGACATTGTTCTGTGTCACAGATCTAATTTGTCTTGATCTTAGCAATTGCTGTGATCTCTGCTGTGCTTTGTTCTTTGTATCAAATCGTTTGACTCAGAGTGACAAAGTTCTGATAGCGAGTCTGTAAAGTAACACACATGTACTGTCAGGGTTGGCCAGGGCAAACCGTGGGGATGTGGGAAGGAGGACCCAAGATGTAGGACTCTCCGATTCAAACAGTGCGTTTATTTACAGCGTGGTTAACAATAGATGCACAATTTATCCCCCTTGCTCCCCAAGACTCCTGTGTGTGTTTCCCAGTTAACACAAGCTGTCCTTCCTCTCCACGTTCCTCCTGCAGGAAAACAATAGAAGCAGCCGTTAAACACTGACCCCCGCGGGCACACACGATCTGCAGCCAGTCCCCTAGCCACCAGGCCTGAAGGCGCCTGTAAACAGGTGTTCGCAGAAACACCTGCATCCATACACACACACCCACACACACACATATCTGCAAATAGGGAGAAGAGGGACAGCACTACCAAAAATACATAAAATAAAAGATAAGTCCATAACTGCCCTGACATGTACAACAGTAACTACTACAGAAAAATTCTCATATAGATATTTATTCCATTAGCTTGAAAACTCCGCAATATGTCAAACATTGAGACAACACAGTACTGTGACTTAATCTATATCCTAGTGGACTGTGTTGCATCATGAACCCCTGTTGAACAAGACTTCTACACCTGATTCGTGGCCTTTTCCACTGGACATCTCAGTGTAAAGGACAGGCAAAACCTGCTGCTTTAACAGGGACCTTTAATTGCCAAATTCTGAATAGTTCAATCTTGAATAATTTCCAAATTTCAAGAAATTTCCCTCAGGACCTCAGGACATATCGCACTGTAATGGCGATCTGAAGTCATTCCTCTTCAGATAAGTGGTTTGTTGACTCATGAGGCAGCTCTCTGGGGACGATCTCTCAGTTCAACAAGCAGTGAGTACAGTGACGGTAAATTATGTTACGTTTGCAAGGATTTTTAAGCAGACTGACTTCAAAGGTCCTTTGCAGTGCAAAGGTTTGATCTAACCTCACAGCACTAAATCTGAAGTCTGTCATTGAATTACAAACCAAGAAGCACCAATTTTTTATACAGCTTCACAACGCATGTGGACCTGCTCCCACTCCACCTGTCTTAGCTGAGCCTGGTCCTGGCAAGGGCTTAAATGTTTGATTTATGAGTCAGGGTGCGAGCTAATCAATATCTATGTAGTACAGCACAATCTCTTTATCACTTCCCTTCCCCTTAGTTTCTTTCAGAGCAAGTCTGCTCTTTAGCAATCAATAATTCTTTGAATCTGCCTTCTCATTAATATGGAATACAAAGTTTGTGCTTGCGGTTTGTTTTCCTTCCACTGAGGTCTAATAGGTGTCATCATTGAATCAGCAGAGTGTGTTTAGCACCCTTTCCATTTAGAGTGACCCAATAACTGTGCACAGCTTCCATTAAAAAATCATCTAATTTCAAAAGGCTATATATTTTAAACCAATAGACATCGAAACTTGAGGTTTATTTTAAAATACATTGTTAAATATAAAGCTTTGCAAACAAAACTTACAATGTTAACAAGATATGATAGTCAGTGGATGGACGTCTGGAGCCACTCTACCCACTGCTGTTGTTATGCTACCTTCTGGAAACGTAAAAAATCCCAAATCCACTGTTTCTAACAGTACGTGTTTCGATTGTTAACGGTGAACAGCTGTGGAATTAAAGCATGCTGAAAACTGGACTATTCTTTTTGATACACCCTGTATACTGCTGCTTGTTTACATGTGTGGTTAAAGTTTGTCCACTTCTGATCTGGTCGCCTTAGACACATGTTAGAACAAGATATGTGTTGCGCTAGCATTTTTTGCATGTTACATGTACTATGTGCACCAGCTCGTGCCCATTCTTTGTTTTTATTGGCCGCACAAATGTATGGCACAGTCCGCTTCCCACACACCATGCTTCTTCAACATATTGGCAAACTGTTCGTGCACAGCTCAGGCCATTGAAAATAATGGGTTTAAGATCCCAGCTGTGTCGCTGCCACTCAGGAGTTTGTGAGAGTTTTATTCCAGGATATCACTGGTCGTAAGACCATTACAGCAGTCAGCTTTGTATCTCTCTTTCACAACGGTCATTTTTCATGTGGGACAGCCTGCAATTCCACAGAGTACCGTACATGCAGCTTTAATAAGGTCCAAGTCATTCAAGAATCATAAAATCAAATCTTAATATAATAATAAAAGAAATAGTTGAGTACATCCTGCACTCTCATTAAATACTGTATCATAATTCATACTGTAAGATTTATCCATCAGACAGAAGCCACAAAACTGCTACTGCATATTTCCTTCAGCAGAATCATTTAAACACTTTTTAAAAATAATTCTAAGAAAAGCACCAACATAGGCTTCAAGCTACTGAGTTGAAAGTCATTCACTCAGTAGTTTTTCCCTTTTACTGTCCACTTTGGTCAGCCTTTTACCATCTTGAACTTTCACCTCACGTCAACATAATCTCAACTGCACCGCCATTGTCTCCTGTCATTTCAGTGGAATGGTCTTACTTGATATGCACTGCCTGTCCAGAAACCATTCCACAGTTAACTTTCTGGCCACTAACTATTGGTCTGTGAAATGAATGGCTCGAGGGGCCTAAGTTGAGCCTGCCCGCCCGCACTCAGACGTGCCATCAGCCCAAACATGAGTGACCCACTTCGCTGGGTATAGAGAAGGCCTGAAGCAGACCTCAGCATATTTATAGCTTACATTAACAGTACGCATATGGCATCAGCATGTATGCAATGTGCTGTGTCACTGAAGTATTTCTTTCGGTATCCCTGAACTCTGCCAATGCTTTAATATGTCGGTCACATCTCCTAAAAATATCCCCCCTCTACTCTTTCTCACTGTCTGTGTTTCTCAGTAGACTCCTTTTACACAGAACAAGTCCTTGTCTTTAGGGAACACGGCAGTAAAGGGGTGTTACCAAAGAATTCTATTAGAAGCGGGTGTAACCCACAGCGATATGAACCGTGTTCTCAGTTCTCTCTGGTTTAAGCAGGAGGAAAAACAGCCGTCTCTGCTGCTTCATCTTGCAGTAACCTGCTTTTTTTTTTTTAGGCAATTTGGCTCTTAGAAGGTAACTTACAAAGGGTGGACAAGGGGTAAGTACTGACTTAAAAAATGAGAAACTTACTTGAAAGCAAATCCTCTCATGGTAATATGTTTCTGAAGTCAGTACAGACAGTTCAATGCTTTCAGAAACATTCAGTGTTAGAAAATAATTAGAAGAAGTATGTGGTCAAAGTTTGTATGAATCCTGAACAATGTGAAGGAGTGTGAAACTGTACAAGCTTTCTTTATCTTACTGTATCCACACATGGACATCCAGAGTTTGGCCACTAAACATGTTTTAAATGTACTATTATCCTCCCTTTGATGACAACTTCAAATGCTTTTATTTCAAACTTTTTTCCTGTCACTGACCTGAGTTCTCCTTGCGTCACCAGGAGAGGTATCCATACTGTAAAAAGAGGAGAAACTCAGGAGTGAGACTGGGGGGAAAAAAAGGTTTGCATCTTTCTTGTGCTGATAGCTGATTGTCTCAAAGTCAACCCAAAAGTGTAATTTAAATAATATATGAAGTGTCTGAAATGTTTGCAGATGAGTCGGAACACAAGTCAGCATAAGCTACTGGCAATGGCAGGAGTATGCTAGTGGCCAAAGTTAACACAAGGAGTTTTTTTGTTCAGCGCTGTGCTAGCAACTGTCCGCAAACACTTTCTGCCTGGTCGCGGAATACACAATTTCCACCGAGATTGGTGGTTACCAAGAAGTCACTGAGTGATCTGTAGGCCTGCCTGAATCCAGTTGTTTTTATAGGATCTTCACACTTCACCTTTAGCATTTTAAAAATACATTTTCTGTCCTGTTGTGTTCATATTACCCTGAAAATACCTAGCTACTAGCTATTGTTAGTAACCAGCAACAGCTGCTAGGTCCAAAGTCTTCCTGGTATTCAGAATTTAGTCTTTAAGTGCTGTTTATTTGTTACTTTGTAAGAACTACCTCACCATACTATCTTTACATGCCAACAGGCTAGCTAACTAGTCCTAAATACTTGTTTCATGGAAGCATGTACAGTGTTTGGGTAACCACAGAGGAGACATTAGTATCTCAGAAGGTGGAGCAGATCCACTGCTCATTGAAAGATTGGTTGTTTGATCCCAGGCTGCTACAGTCTACATGTCAAAAAACGTCTTGGGTGAGATACTGAACCCTGAGTTTCTTTGAGTGCTCAAATACAGTAGAAAGTGCTAAATAACAGCCAGTCTGTATATGCTTCGCTGTTAACATCTGGGAGAACGGCTACACTGAAAAAAAATGTAGTGTTTTTTACAGTGAATTGTGCCTTTTTTCCTTTATGGAAAATGGGACGCTGAAATGGAAATTACGTCATACTCAAGAGATTTTCACAACACACGCCCAATTTGCTCTCCCCAGTTTCCTTTTTGCTGCTTCATTTCTCTTTATTTATTATTTGCACCTATGACTTCATAAAGCTTTCAGTGGCCTCATGCTTGCCATTCAGACACAGGACGGTCTCACTGGACCTTCAGCTAAACTGTGACTGCAGTGTAAACTGAGGCAGGGATCTGGAGTTGTTGCTCTCTTTTTAGCTGTGTTAAAAGCTGGCCGCTGGTAGGCCCCACCCTTATATCAGGCCATATCTTGTGGCTGCCAGAGTGAGATATTTCCTAGCTGACGTGTAGTCAGATGTTTTGGGTTGGGTCACTTGGACTTTATTATGTCTGATTTGCTCCAATCCACACATGTGCAAGCTGTTTTCAGTTACATGTTGTGTTTCAATGGCAGAAATCGTACAAACACCTCTCACCACAACCAAGTGGTGCACAGAAGAAAATGCATTTACATAAAACTCTGGCTGTTTTTGTGTTGAAAACTGAGAGAAAATGCAAGCGTCTCCTCCTGTAATGATGACGTCAGAAAAGGACCTTTATTTGATATTGGATGGGCACTGTTTGCTGCAAGCCACTATGCATACCATTGACTGCTAAACTGTTCCCTGAAGGAAGGATATAAGCTTTTTAAAGTAAACAAGACATAACAGCCTAAATTGTCTATGCAGCCAGTAGCCGTGTGCTGCATCATGCACGCTGCAAAAGCCTCCCACTCACTGTGCAGCACATTTCTGCGTTCTCCAAACACCCGCAGCCTCAGGCATGTGCACTGCTAACGGCAGGAGCAGACCATCCGCACTGCAGTCGAGCCTAAAGATACAACAATACCTCCTTTCTTCTTTGTGGCAGTAAATGTGAAGTAGTATTTGTTTTCCATGGAAGAAATACATGATGATATTCTCCAGTATATTTGTAGTGTTCCTCCATCATGGATACTGTGTTCTGATAAACAAGGAAAAACTGGAAAATTCTCATTTAATGTGTATATAAGCTACCACTTTTGACCAATAACATTATGTCTTTCAATGATGTTTCACATCAAACTCAATGTAAATAAAAAAAATCATGTATTTCGAAAGACGCTCTACTACCAAAGCAGGTAACTTACAGCAGGTAGGACTGCTAGTTTTTGGCCTAAAGTGTTAAGACACCCAATTGTCAGGTTTCAGGATGTCACTCCCGACAATGAGTGACAGATCGCATTGAGCAAGATGTCTGGGTCTCTGGGCTGTGGTGCTGAGCTGTGACATCTTTTCTCTGTCACTCTCAGACAACAGCAGGCTGCTGGCCTGACTCATACTCAGTAAGATCCAAAATGGCAGCAATACAATCCTCAGTCTTTCTGCCAGGACTGCAGAACGAGTAAGAGGACCACTGCCAGGCAGCTGGCCGTTTGTCTTGATCCCTTGAATGGGCCCTTCTGGTCTGTTAACACTGGCAGATGGTTTTGGTCATATATAGGCTACACATTATGTTCAGACTGCCACACATTAACATTGCGCAGGTGCCCATCAGCTCACCAAATCAGCTCTGACCTGTTAGGCCATGGACATGGCATCTCTGGGGCTGCCCTGTGGTGTCTAGCAATAAGAGGTTCTGTGGGTTGCAGACTGGGGACTTTGTCTCTATGTGTGGAGATTGTATGTAAATGTAAAACATAGCAAGGCAGATTCAGTTGATTAAAGGGAATCATATAATGATATTAATTTAATTTGTGAATGGGGAACTGAGCTACAAATCTCAACAATCAACTTTACCATCACTGATCAGGACAACTCTAATCTAGACAAAACATTTAAGTGGTTTAAAGGTGTTATTTTCAAATTTAAGGGTTTATTTCAAATATATCTAATAGATGAAGCAGGTTCAGTATTCTCTCTAAGGATACGTTAAAACTGAAGACTGGAATATCCAGGGATCAAACTACTGACCTTCCAATTGATAGAAAACCTGTTTGACCAGAACTTTTTTTATTCACTGACCTCTGATTTTTCTCATAGTGCTCCTTTAATTATTTTGAGCTGCTTATATATAAGCTGTGTCTAAGCAGACTTTCCTCTCTTGGCATCTCTGACACACCCCTAGCTTGGTGCCAATCATATCTCCATGACCGCTCCCAGTTTATTCAACTTAAATCATTTTGCTCTTGTCTATTCTCAGTCACTTCTGGTGTACCCCAAGATTCAGTCTTAGGCCCTCTTCTCTTCATAATTTACATCCTCCCTCTTGGTACCATTTTCCACAAATTGGATCTTCACTTTCACTGTTTTGCTGATGACACCCGGTTATATCTCTCCTGCAGGCCTGATTTTTCCCTCCCAACTTCTTCCCTTACAGAATGCCTATCTGAATTAAAATCCTCGTTCAGCTCTAATTTTCTTAAGCTCAATGAGGATAAAACTGAAATCTCCTTATTGGAACTAAATACAAACTTTTGAAGGCAAATCTTTTCTCACTCACTATTGATAACTCCACAGTTTTCCCTTCACTTCAGGTTAAGAGCCTAGGTATCATCTTACCTAGACAGTTCACTATCCTATAAATTGCACATCAATAATCTCACTGCCTATTTCCATCTACGCAGCATTAACAGATAACGTCCTCCTCTTTCCACCCAGTCTACATCTATTCTTGCTTTCAGTTGCTCTGCTCCCAGACTGTGGAACTCTTTACCCCCAGATATAAGAAACGTTGGTTCTCTCCTCCAGCTTAAATGTAACTCAAAACTCATCTGTTCAAATCTGCATATTCACTGTGAAAACACTGTTTGTTAATTTTATCTTGCACTTTGTTTCTATTGTTCTTCATTTTGTCATCTCTATTATTATTTTATTGTTAAGTGTCCTTGGGTGTCACCAAAGGTGCCTTTTAATTAAAATTAAAATTTATTATTATTATTATTATTATTATTTTTTTTTTTTTAAATTATCTGCTGAAACATCCGTTCATGATTATTGCAGATACAATCTCCCAACATTTACTCTAGTCTCCTATCTGACCCATCCTCGCCGCCTCTCCTCCAGCTCTGTCCTTCTGCTTCGTTTTCTTGATTTTCTGAGTTTGAACTTTCCTTGACTCTTATTTCGACATCCTTCTTCAGAGGAAGTTCACAAGAGGCCAGCGGCTCAGTGAAACAACTCCACCTCCTGTCCTTCATGCAATTTACAGCTTTCAGCTCAGTCCTGTGCTAAGCTGCTGAACACACAGCCACATTTAAACAGTTTCATTCAGATGCAGTTGATCGAATCACTGATTTGACTGTGTCAAAGTTAACGAGTCAACATAATCTACATTTTACTGGCTCACACTCATCGTTTTCTGAAGATGTGAATGTTTGCCATGAAGCATACAGTATTCTGTCACAGACCCACTGCTCTGCTAGCCATGATGAGTTCAAAAAGAAGGCAGCCATGTGACAGTTGACGTGATGGATTTAAGCCTAGGGCGTACGACATAAACACAGACACAGTGTCCACTGCTCTGAATCATTTATATTATGAGCTCTAATGTGTGTCGTTTTGTGTTGACACACATGATGTCTACGACAATGTGTGCGTGTGTGCATGTGTGTCAGGGAACAAACTAAAAGTCAAAAGAAGCCTGAGGATGAGACAGAGGGGGCAGCGGTTGCCAGAAAAGAGGTCTCTTAAGAAAAAAACACAGACTCTAGTGACTGCACGGCTTCAGCCAGATGACCAAGCTGCTCTCAAGTATAATAGGAAGATGTGCCCTAGGTTGAGTAAGCATTTACATATATACAACAACAACAGTAACTTCATATTTTAATTTGTGCTGTCAGCGTTAATCTCGTTAAAATGACGTTAACGACATAACCACATTAACGTGGCAAATCTCCACGAGATTAACGCTGACACCACTAATTTTAATTTGACATTTTTCTTTTCCTGATACAAAATATTAAATTGTCTGTACATCTATATCTATATCTCTTACCTAACTCCTCCTAGACACATTAATTAATCTGGAGGAAGTACATTATATTAACTGCCAGGATACCAGGATAATACACATCGTTAAAGCTTATGGGAATTATTTTTAGAACACTCATATCCTAATTAGCTGATCTCAAAACATACATGTACACTGTTCACAATACGTGTACGTTACATGTATGTGTATATTGTTCACATTATGTATATGCTGTTTTTTGTAAATAAAACAGTTTTTAGTGCAGTGGCACTTTGGGATTTAATGAACATAAAAATAATAACATGATAACATTAACATACATGTCTGAGTTTCCATACATGAGCAAAGTGGACAAGCACTGTAGGCCTAGCAATAAAATATCCATAGGATAGGTTTTTGCGAGTAATTAAATATATTTACAGGAGCAACAAGACCTTTACCTGAAATTAGGTAAATACTGACAACATCCTGCTTGTTTTTCAATGCAAGCTGTACTAATGTAATGCCTTAGCATCATGTATACATTTTAGCATGTATTTTCTTCTTCTATCAAAAAATGTGTCGTATTTATTGACCTCTGGCCTCCACCAAATGTTCCACTGTGCGGTCCAGCCCACATTTAGCTCTGTCTCATGCTGACAGCCAGTATCAGGCATGAAATGGTTGTTGGGCAAGACAGTCTCAGCTTCTTTTAACTTGATGGAACTAAACTTGATTCAACACTTCTCTGACGATGGCTGTGAAATATTTACAGCAAGGCACAAACTGGGGAGGGCTCGGGAAAGCGAGGGGCAGAGGCATGAGTTTAAAGTTGCAGACTCAGTATCTGCTTTGAGTGTCTGACCATGGGGAGTACTTAAAATTGTCTCTTCCCTTTACCCACAGGCTGGCACTGACAAGGACGTGCAAGGTAAGAAGTCAGCTGCACGTAGCTGCCATTAGCTTACCATCAGCTGCTATCATATTTTGTCACTTTTCATCACTATGCCTGCCTAGAAACCATTCTTTCTTGGCAGATGATAATTTGCCATAACTAAGTCTTTGCCTGAAGAATAATAATCTAAGTCTGTGTGACAGAATGGAGCCGTGGCTGAGAAAGAGCTCTACTTTGAGCGTAACAACATTACTTAAATTCCTTCTGACTCTGTGTGCTACAAGAAGACCATTATCACAGCACTTTTTGGCCAATCTCCACATTGTGAACAAAGCTTCTATGGAGTTGGGAGGGACACAGAAGTAAAAAGAGTGTATACATTATAAAAGCACATCCAGCCCTGATATGAAGCAGTGAACATCTGACACTAAGTGAAATATGTGAGTGATGTTAGTGTTTGAGATATAAATAAACAGACAGATGCATACAAAAAATCAACCCTAATTATGTTAAAGGAGAAAATTGGAACTTCCTGTTATTTACTCACATGTTGTTTCCAGGGAAATAAATAAATCATAAAGAGAAAAGAGAAAAGAAATCAACGATTTTAAAGGCTTTTTTTAATCTCTGTTTTTGTTTCTTGTATATTTTCTAGATAAGATATAGCCTATATTTATACTCAGCACTATGCAGAGGTCTTGCACCATCACTGGGAGGAGACACAATACCCTTAGAGTATTACAAGCTAATGTATGCCTAGACCAGTGGTGTCAAAGATAAGGGCCAGGGGCCAGAATCTTTTGCTCCAATCAGGCCCATTGGACGGCTTTTCTTAAGTTTTACAGCTTTTCCCACTGATAAACTCCTCTTCTATGGTATTCATAGGACACTAAATAGGTATAAATAAGCAAGTACACTAAAACAATAAAATAACAGAAAGTTCCTGTTTTTTCACTATCTAAAATCTACACTATCTACTGAAGAAATGTATGATTTATCTGTGGATTATGGGATTATAATTACAGGGCAGAGAAATATTCCTATAATTTTAAACATTTATTTCCTATCATTTAAGCCCATCTTTATCGTGTGCAGAAACTGAGCTGTATTGTTGAAATGTTGTTCTTTTTTATTAAAAAAAACTAAAATAATAAATGTGTAGTTGTTCTTTACACTGACTGAAAGCGGACTTTCACTGGCCTGAACCAGTGGCCCACAGTGTAAAATAATTTGATGTCCCTGGCTTAGATGAACAGGAAGTTCTGTTCCAGAGTAGGAAGAAGGAAAATCTGTGCAGATCCATCTGCTGTGATGACCCCTTGGGAAGGGCGCAGTCAAAGTACCTCAATTCTCTATTTAACTGAGCTCATCCCTTAGTAAACGTATTTAAGAACTACAAGATACTATGTTTGAGCTAAGTTGTTTTTCATGTAACAATACTTTATTTATCCCAACCATTGGAATAAATAAAGTATTTCTTCTCCTTGTTCTTCTTCTTATTATTATTATTATATTATGAAAAGGGGTGTTGCTATCGCTCCTTCAGTTGTGGTGAGAGCAAATTTGTGAACTTTTAAAACTCGTCTGCGCACGTCATCCTGAAACCTCCACACTCTTTTTATGCGCGTCTAATCTTGTGAGTGAGCAGTGTTAATGATAAATGGAAAACTGTTAGCAGTGTTGGGCACATGTTCATTATATCACTTTGTCTCAGTAATAACTGTGCCTATTAATATAGATAGTGCACAAATGACATCCTTAATGAAGACATTGTCAGTCAGGTGATTTGTGTTCATTAACATCAAATAGAAACACAAGTAAAAACACTCTGAGCGTACACTGCACTGAAAATACAGTTATTTCCATGTCTATGTTTTCTTTCTCAGGGAACAAACTGCCTGTGGGTCCCTTTTCTGTACTAATGGCGCAAAGGATGTTGAATGAAGGTGGGCAAGATGGCCGATCAGGTGAGACACAGGAATGGACTATCGATGATGGAATTTTGTGAATGCTAATGAAGTGTGCATGACAAAAATGTTTACCAGTGAAAATGCCAACTGTACAAGTTGATAAACCTAAATTTTGGCAAAAGGCTATCCTCAGTTATTTGTATTTCCCTCTTCGTCCTTCCCTTGGAAATGATGACCTCTTTATTTAATGTTGCTCCGTCCAAGTTCAGCCCCCAGGATACGACTTAATGAAGGGACTGCAGTGAAAGGCCTGGGAACAATGTTATATTTAGCCTTCTTGTTATTTCTGTTGGTTAATTTTTAATGCCCACTGGAGGGCTGTGTGTAGAGAATAAGCGTGCTACATTTTGCTCATTGTGCCCCTATAATTTCTGTTGTGCCGGCTCACATTAGTAACACAAAAGCTCTGTTTCATGACCTGGCATTGACCTTAGTACTTTCTCACTTTTTGTTAACACCCAGGCCTATGAAACATTTAAAAGCAGTTTTGTTAGGAAAAATAAAGGTCTCACATAGTCTGTGAATGACTTGAAATCCTCCCTTAGTTATGCTGCAATAGACATAGGCTGCCGGGGGATTCCCATGATGCATTGAGTTTTTCCTTTCCAGTCACCTTTCTCACTCACTATGTATTAACAGACCTCTCTGCATTAAATCATATCTGTTATTAACCTCTGTCTCTCTTCCACAGCATGTCTTTTATCCTGTCTTCCTTCTCTCACCCCAACCGGTCGCAGCAGATGGCCGCCCCTCCCTGAGCCTGGTTCTGCCGGAGGTTTCTTCCTGTTAAAAGGGAGTTTTTCCTTCCCACTGTTGCCAAAGTGCTTGCTCATAGGGGGTCATATGATTGTTGGGTTTTTTTCTCTGTATCTATGAAGCGCCTTGAGGCGACTTATGTTGTGATTTGGCGCTATATAAATAAAATTGAATTGAAATTAGATCAATATGAATATTTAATTATAACTGGGCCTTTTGATTTGCCTCACTGTAAGCATTTTACTTTGTCTTTTGTGACTGCAGTTCTGGGAATGTTGGAGGTGCAGGTAGAGCGGGACCCCAAGACAGGTGCCACCATCGTTAGGTCAGTGGCTCCTGTGTCCACACCAGCTGGTGCTCCGAAGGCTACCACTGTCTTTGACGACGGCAGGAGGAGCATCCACACTATCAGTGGGTCAGCAGATCAACCCTCGTCTAAAGAGCTTGGGCAGATCTTGAGTGTCATCGATGGGGTCGGGATGAAAGTGCTGCTGAATGAAGTCACAGTCACACCAACCAAGACAGAGACAGTAGAAGCTAGCAAAGGCTCAGAGAAAAAAGGCCTGTCGCTTCATACCCATCCCAGCACATCAAAGGAAGACTACAGGCCATTTGGCGGCTCCAGAAGCGATGATTTAGAAGTTGAGCTGAGCAGTGAGAAGTGTGTTGTAAATGTGGGAAACACAGATGATAAAAACACGATGGCAGTGAGAGACACTTTGGAAAAAGTAGATATTGTGGAGAATCAGATGTTGGAGGAAAGTCCTGTCACACTTGTGTTCTTGGGATACGCTGATGCTACAACAGACCAGAGTCAGAGCCAAGAGGAGCAGGAAGGCATGATCACTGTGGAACGAGTGATAATCACGGAGGATGGAGAAGAGCATGTCTTAGGACCTGAAATGCCTCCTCCACTTTATTCACCATTAGACCAGGTAGCAGAGCAAGGCACCGGGAAAGAGTCCAAAGATGAAGCAGTTCAGGTTATTCCCTCGGGTGGAAACGGAGCTGGAATCAATGTGCAGGCAGAGGAAGGTGATAAAGAGTCACATAATACATCGCCACCAGGCATAACAGAGGGAAAAGGCAGTTCTACGCACAGGAGCTGCCGGTGTTGCTCTGTCATGTAAGAAATGGTTGAAGAAAGACTCCCCGTATACCATGTATACACTGCTTCCTTTATATGTTGCTTTATATGAGTGGGTTTAATAGCATACTAAACCATCACCCACCATTTCACCTCCCCTTGATAATAAAAGTGGCATTTATATATTTGTGCAGCTTCTACAAAGCTGAGAACTAAAGTCCACTTCCACCCCCTACTGGACAGAAATAAGAACTTCAAGCAAGCAAGCTTATCCAAGAGAAAAAATCCACACTAAATGTTTAGCCATGGTTCCTGTAGAAATG